AGATCAATGGAATAGAACTGAGAGTCCAGAAATAAACCTATACATCTCAGGTAATTGATTTGCAACAAGGATTCCAGGTCCATTCAGTGGGGAAAGAACAGTCTCTTCAACAAATTGTGCATAGACAGCTGGATTTCCACAGGCAGAAGAATAAAGCTTGATCTCTGTCACACATCATATATGAAAATTTATCTAAGCTAAAAGAAAATATGAGCTGCAGTTTGAAAAGACTCACCAATTCTGATGAGAGAAGACACACATCTGGGCAAATTCTGTTAAAATTCCTTAATTACAAAACCACAGAGAAAAATCTTACAAGCATCCTGGAAAAAGGAGAAGTTATGACAAAGAAAAAACATAATGATTTTGGCATCAGCATCCAACTTCTTATTAGAAACAATAGAATTTAAAAAGCAATGGAATAATAGTATTGTTATATTACTGGAAGAATGGGCTACAACTCAAGCATCTTGTATTTAGCTAATATATGATTTATTTGACAAGGTTAAAGACTGATATTTTTGGATAATAAAGATTCAGGTTAAATTATAACCATGTACCCCATATGGGAAAAATACTAGAGACATTAATCAAAAATAAATCAAAACCTCAGAATAGGGAAAGAGGAAGGAGAGGGAGCCAGAGTGAGCACTAAGCCTCTCAATGTATATTAACATCTCCACACACATATACACATGCATAGTTACATCTACACAATTAATGATAGGAGGTTTGGGTACATAGATATCATATATGTAGTGTGAACACTCCTGTCTTGGAAGAAGTACAGCCAGAATACTCCTTAGAAGCGAGGAGGGAAGACTTTGTCTCACATACTTTGGACATGTTATCAGGAGGAACTAGTCCCTGGAGAAGGACATCATGCCTGGTAAAGTAGAGGGTTAGTGAAAAAGAAGAAGATCCTCAACGAGATGGATTGACATAGTGGCTGCAACAATGGGCTGAAACATAGCAACAATTGTGAACATGGTGCAGGACCGGGCAGTGTTTAGTTCTGTTGTAGATAGGGTCGCTATGAGTCAGAACCAACTAGATGGCACCTAGCAACAACAAATATATATATATATACACACACGCACATACACACACACACACACACACACACAGGTACCCAAACTGCCTATTATATTAGTGTGTGTGTGTATATATATATGGCGGGGGAATGATGGTGAAAACGGTTAAGCGCTGAACTACTAGCCAAAAAGTTAGCAGTTCAAGCCAACCTAGATGTACCTCAGAAGACAAGCCTGGCAATCTGCTTCTGAAAGGTAGGTCTTGAAACCCTATGGAGCAGTTCTGCTATGCCCACTGGATTGTCATGAGTTGAAATTGACTCAAGGCTATCTAAAAGGAACTCTATATATACACATATACATATATATGTATATATATATGCATAAATATTAAATACATGCTTGAAATAGAGGAAAATATAATGTAAGAGAAATTTTAATAGTCCAGGTAACTAAAGTTACCCCAGTAAAACCAAGGAAAAGATGGTGAGAAGGGATAGTTGAGAGAAGAAACATGCAAAAATGTTCCAAGTTTCATCTGCAGAGAAGAATGGGGAGGGGACCCTTCTGGGGGAATGGACAGGGGCAAAAAATATCCTAAATGTATCATCTTTTTGTTGTGAGTGCAAAAAAGTGGTGGAAGAATTGAGTGCCTTGAGGGGGAAATAATTAATGTATTTTTTATATAATGATAGAAAATATGCTTTTGATTGTGAGTGCTAAAGATATTCAGAAATCCCAAACTCAGAGAAGAAAGAAAACAGAATGAAGAACAAGCTAAATAGGGCAGCAAAAATAAGAAAAAGGAGAGATGGGAAAAAAATCATGTGACATAAGTACTAATGTGGAAGGAAGAAAATCACATATACAGGTTTTATACTAAATATGAACAGGCTAATTTCTATCAGAACCCAATTAAATGCACTCCCACATAGTGATAAAGAAGGGATGGGCCAAGAGATATCACGCCATCCAAAAAAATGTAAGCAAGAATGGTTGTATTAATGAGAGAAGTTAAAATTTAAATTTCAGAAGTTCAGAAAAACTTAACAGAATAAACAGGTTCAGGATCTTGTGATAAAAGGCACAATTTATTAAGAAAATATGAAAATCATAAATCTAGGTCATCAAGCTAGTATCTGTTAAATATATTATCCAAAACAATAAGAAATGTTAAAATTATGAACTATGCATATGTTGCAAGAAATTTCAATGCTGCTTTTTCAGATTCTGAATGTCTAGAAGACACAAAATGAATAAGTGAGTGAGGGAAACCATCTGCTTTTTTTAAAAGGTAACTATTTCAGTTTTAGAGCATGTTTAAGGCTTGATTCTCTAGAGAAGCAAAACCAGTGAAGTGTCTATATATATATACACATACACACTCACAGAGACAGAGATTTATATCAAGGAAATGGTTTACATGGTTGTAGAGGCTGGAAGGTCCCAAGTGTTTGGGTCAGGCTGGAGGCTTCTCCTGACTCACATAGCTGCAGGGGCTGAAGAACCCACGATCAGCAGGTAAGACAACAGGCCTCTGGCTCACAGGCTGTGGAGGCTGACAAACTCAAAGATCCGTGGGTAAGCTACTAGCTCAAGTCCCGAGAACCGGAGGTCAGATGAACAAGAGCCAGCTGCAGGATCCAGAGCAAGCAAAAGCCCATGGTCCTTGCCAGAAAGTCAACCTATATTGGATGCAGGCCACACCCTCAAGAAATTCAGTTTCAACTGATGGGCTACTTTCAGCAGATCCCATCATGGAGGTGATCATATTATATGAGATCTCATCATGGAGGTGATGACATCATTATACAACTGCCAAACTACATCATAACTGCTAAACCACTGGGAATCATAGCCCAGCCAAGGTGACACACAATCTTAATGATCACAGAGCAATATTGAAATTATTGCATAGATTAAATATGCTTTATCTGTATTACCAATGTTTCCTTCTTCAGTAATAGCATTTTCTACAGAAATGAAGCTCGCTTATCTTTAAAAAAATAAATTCCACAAAAGGAACGTAATTCATTACAATAAATGTCTGCCCTAGATGTGTTATATTGCCATGGTCTTGGCAGAGTTCATATCAGACTTTAACCAAAAATGGTTGGTAATTTTTTCAGTATTTTAGCCGTGCAAAAGAAATCTTGTCTATATTGCTATTGCAGCATTTTCCCATTTCATTTCTTCTTGACATTATTCCAAGTATACTCAAGCAAGAAGTCAAAATGCAAAATAAAAAAAAATTCTCTAAAAAGAAACTTCTTGATTTGTAATAATCTTTTAGTTGAATTGTACCAAGTTCGTTGCATTTCAAAATATTTGGGAATCGTAGAACTACCTGGAACTCCTCGTGCATAAAGCTCTTTGAGGTCTCATATAGTCAACTTGATCAAAATACGTACATGTTTCAAAAAGATGTTTATTATAATTACAACAATGTGAACATCATACTCATAATTTTAATTATTTTAGAGGTGTTTTACCCAACAAACTTTTACTTTTGCAACTTCCGAATGCTGATAGAATCTTGTACACTCAAATAGCATTTGCAGAAAGTCAAAGTCAAACTTTTTTTCTCAGAAGTTACAGCTCTTTGTCAAGCCAGAAGGAATACTGATACAAACTATTTACCTTTCCAGAATGACACACGGACATGGTGAGATAGAGTTTAACAGGAATAAAGGTGAAGACCTTAATTAGATTCAAGAAACCAACCTCATGGGTTGAAGCTTCAGAGTATGTTGTCTAACTACAGTGACAATGAGGTCCCATATTTTTGTGGAAGTATGGCAGGCCTTCTATGTTTGTTTGCTGACCTCGCCCTCAGCCATCCCCCAATGTATTTTCGCAAGCATGCTATGCTAATTTTTTAAAGCAACATGTAAACATAAATTGGCACAGCGGCGCTTATGAAAATACCCGGTGGGGAGGAGGGCGTGGTCGCGAACAAATGTAAAAGGTGCACGTTGTTTGCGTAAAAATGCGGTAGTCTTTAGTGAATTTGAAACTCAGTGAAACTCAAGATGGTGGTCAAATATGGAAGAGTATTTTCAGCATGAGCCATTGCAAATAATGTCTTGGGGTGGTCGCCCTCTGCCCTTGCCAGACCACACCTGACAGTATCCTGTTTTAACAATGGTTTCAACAGCCCCAACTATCCATAGAAGGGCGAGTTGCATAGTGATGGCACTAAATGTATTCCTTGGTTATAAAAACATATTGCATGCATCCTATGCAACAGACACGAAGCTAAGTGCTAGAGTGAGACATGGATAAATCACCTACTGCCCACCAGGCGCTTTCCATCTACTGTGGGAGGCAAACCACTAATCAGGGAGAATGACATTCTATAGCTGATGCACGGGGTGCGGCTGGCGGGCAGTGTGGTTAAGCTGGGATGTGGGACCCAGGACGCCACTTAAGGGAAGGAGGCCAGAGAGGCCACCAGTGTGAAGGCGAAGAAAGGGAGACAGTTGTGAAGCCCCCACTGAGGCCCCTGTGGTTAGGGAAGGGGCGTCTGTGTGGCGACCTCTGGGACATGAGAGCAGTCTGCCAGATTAAAGTGTGAATTGTAGGATGACAACAAAAGGGATTCCCAGAGCACTGTCGTCCGCATGCCCAGGAGACATTTCACTGTAACTCCTCGAGTTTTGGCCACAAATCCCGTCACAAAGCGCATTTTAGCGATCATTTGAAAAATAAAATGGCAGAGAATACCATGCATTTGCAGCCTGTGATTGCGTCTAGGGAAGCTGCAGTTTGCTCAGAGGCAGTTACAGCATAATGCTTGTGAATTGGTGAGTCTTTACTGACCCCTGCCTGTCATTAACCAAGCCTGCAGGTAATGGCCCTGGCCGCCTTTTCCTCGCCATGCGAGGAGTGAGGAAAGGGAGGGAGGATGGAGATGTTGCATATTCCTGCCGAATAACCAGCCGTACCCACTTCTCTCGCCCGCAGAGCCCCACGGCGCGGACCCAGACACGCGGCGGGCCGGCGCGCAGGGATTCACCGGCTGCCTGTCCGCCGTGCGCTTCGAGCGCGCAGCTCCCCTGAAGGCGGCGCTGCGCCCTGGTGGCCCCGCCCCGGTCACTGTCCGCGGCCACGTGGCCGCCTCGTCCAGGTGCGCGGCGGAGGCGGGGCCTGGCTCCCCCACGCGGGAGCTGACGCGGCAGCTCTCAGGTAGCGCAGGTGCGTGCCAGGAGGCTGGTGAGCGGGTTGCATTTGCTCATTCAACGTCTTAGCTTGTGTCCTTTTTCTTCTGTGCGTTCTTTATGCCACGTTCATTTCGACCATTCCAGCTGTCTTTATCTTTCGCGTGTGTCCGAAGTTCTCAGCGGTCTTTCTTCCGACTTGCCTCTGTCCTTCTGCCTTTTTCTGCTGTAGGTCTTTCTGACCCCGCAGAAGAGGGAGGACCTTTCCTTAATACAGACGGAAGTGACTCTGCGGTCATTGGAGGTAACAGGGCCGCGAAAGACCTCGTCCTTTTTTCACTGTTTAACACAATGGAAGGAAAATATCGGTACAAATCGGCACTGGTTCCTGAGGTCAATAGCATGCCATATGCCATATGTATTTGCTGATCTCCTGATGTAGGTTTACAGAATTGAAATCCACTGGAGATGCTTAGCAGAAGAAAGTGATGATTCTACTGAAATACATTTTTTTAAAAAGTTGCAAAATTATATAATAATGAAAACTTTTCATTTGAAAATAGCCATTAATATTCCTAAAGGCATATATACACACACACACACATATATACATACGTATATGTTTATATATGTATATACATATCCCTGGTGGTGCAGTGGTTAAGCACTTGACTGCCAACCAAAAGGTCCGGAGTTCCAACCCACCAACTACTCAGCGAGAGAAAGATGCAGCAGTCTGCTTCCAGAGAGGTTATAGTCTTGGAAACTCTATTGGGGCAGTTTGACTCTGTCCTATAGGGTCACTGTGAGTCAGAATCGACTCAATGGCAAGGGGTGTGGGTGTGTGTGGGGGTGTGTGTGTGTGTGTGTGTGTATACACTTATATACATATATATATATATACATAAAAACCAAACCCGTTACCCTCTAGTCGATTCCGACTCATAGCGACCCTATAGGACAGCGTAGAACTGCCCCATAGAGTTTCTAAGGAGCCCTTGGTAGATTCGAACTGCTGACCTTTTGGTTAGCAGCTGTAGCTCTTAACCACTACGCCACCAGGGTTTCCTATAAATACATATATATGTATATAATTTAATAACATTTTTGTGGCTATTGGACCTATCACTGACTGCAAGTTATTAGGTAAAAAGCAATGAAAGCCTAAGATAAGACTGATACCCGAAAAAAAAAAGAAAACAAAAAAAAAAAATAAACACTGCTGTGGAGTTGATTCTGACTCATAGGGACCCTATAGGACAGAGTAGAACCACCTCGTAGGGTTTCCAAGGCTGTAAATCCTTACCGAAGCAGACGCCACATATTTCTCCCGGTAGCACAGCTGGTGGGTTTGAACCGCAGACCTATTGGTTAGCAGCCGAATGCTTAACCACTGCACCACCACGGCAGAAGCACAGTATCGTGTCTTAATGTTTAAGAAGATGAAAAATTTGCATGGGTTAGATGCTTCCCTCAATGTAAGTTTCCATAGTAACCTTATTTTTAAATGCATTGAGCTAATGGACTGAGTAGTTAGTTCACGGTTATTTTAAATTGAAGAAGATTAAGTAAATGCGTCTTAAATATATCTTCCTTTCAATATAAAAATATAATCTCCGGGGCAAAATTTATCCAGATCTGACTCAAAAATGAATATTCATTTTCCCTCTTCATCATTCTAAAAGACATGTTGACTACATTGTTGAAATGTTAGACAACTACAAGCTCTCCCCAGCACATACAGAAGTTAACTGTTTTTCCCTGCCATGCCACGAAAATAGACGGTAGTTACTGACAACTGAGTGATTCCACTGGGTGTCCAGGGTTTCTGTGTGGTACCCTGATCCGATTGCATCTGTTCATTTAACCCACATTCATCTAGATGCTGACATTCTCCAAAAATCAGGTAAGTATTTAGACATTTTAAAGTGCTAACCAAATCTCTGTAAGGATGTTACATTTCCATTCCTTTCACAACGCCTTTTATTTCTATAAAGAGTGAGTTATAAAGATACATTTAATATGATCCCCATATTGCAACTGGATGAAAAAATACAAAACCCAATGTTCCTTACAGCTTATATCCAAAAGGAATCATTAGTTTTGTATTAAAATTTAAATTAACTCTTACTCCTAAATCATTTCTAATTTATTTTTAACGAGAAGACTTCATTACAATGCAAAAACTTATTTAAAATAAATCAACTTAAATGTGGTTAATGTGTTCAAAATAGGAATCCAAGCCTAACAGACTTTTGAAAAATCGTCATAGGTGCCCTTTCATCATAGAGAACAAAGATAACACTCAGGTTGATGACAGAACAACAGATCTGGTCTTTGGAATTTCATTGCTTTTGGGAAAATATCATTGGCAAGATTTGCAAAGTAAGGCAGTGCTAGTCCCCTGAGAAATCCCACTGGCCTCCTGGGAGGTGGGTGAAGGAGGATAGCACTTAAGTTCACCACCTCAGGGGCGTCACAGAGGTCATCAGCTCACTGGGCCTTGCAATCCGTATCTGCATTTGATCCTTGCATTGATCTGGCTGTTACATGGTTAGACAACTACTGAGATCATTGACCTCCATTGTATTCTTCAGTGTTATAGAATTCTCAGCCCTTTGTCTAATTAATCACAGACTCCACCCATGTGTGAAATATTTGATCCATTTAAAGAATTATTCCAATCTGTGGCTTTCTATACATTCAGTATTTTACAGTATTGCTTTTCCCTCTTGCTAACCAAGTGAGTAGTATAGGAAAGGAGAATTAACCTAAAACAATATCCAAGCCTGGTAAACCAGAGGGCACAGTGGGTTTCTTACCAAGGGACACATATTGTAGACAGACAGACAGATAGTAGACCCACAGACAGGCTAATAAAAGCACTTGGAAAGAAACACATTGGCATTATTCAAATTATCTCAATTTTTTCAGAGAATGGGTGAAGACAGAAGATATTCTAGCATGCCATCAATCCTGACAAACAAGTAAACCAGAGTTACAATGATTAATCACATACATAAATGCCTTGTTGTGTGGTGACAGTAATTTTATAATCAAGTGGCTTGATCACTGTAATTGAGATTTAGCGTTTCCTGACACTGCGATTGGATATATCTCTCTTTAAAGCAAAGTCTTACAACTAAACATAAAAATAAGTAAAGTGATTCTATTGTTTGTTCCAGCAGAACAAGCGAATACCGTAAGGCTTAAAATCAGGAAAGGTGTGCGTCAGGGTTATATCCTTTCACCATACTTATTTAGTCTGTATGCTGAGCAAATAATATGAGAAGCTGGACTATATATGAAGAAGAACAGGGCATCAGGATTGGAAGAAGACTCTTTAACAACCTGCGATATGCAGATGACATGGACTTGCTTGCTGAAAGTGAAGAGGACTTGAAGCACTTACTGATGAAGATCAAAGACTACAGTCTTCACTATGGATTACATGTCAACATAAAGAAAACAAAAATCCTCACCACTGGACCAATAAGCAGCATCATGATAAACAGAGAAAAGACTGAAGTTGTCAAGGATTTCATTTTACTTGGATCCACAATCAACGCCCATGGAAGCAGCAGTCAAGAAATCGGACGATGTATTGCATTGCACAAATCTGCTGCAGAAGACCTCTTTAAACTGTAAAAAGCAAAGATGTCACTTTGAGGACTAAGGTGCACCTGACCCAAGCCATAGTGTTTTCAATCGTCTCATATTCATGCAAAAGCTGGACAATGAATAAGAAAGACCTAAGAAGAATTGATGCATTTGAATTATGATGTTGACAAGGAATACTGAATATACCATGGACTTCCAGAAGAATGAACAAATCTGTCGTGGAAGAAGTACAGCCAGAATGCTCCTTAGAAGCCAGGATGGCAAGACTTCATCTCACGTACTTTGGACATGTTATCAGCAGGGACCAGTCTCTGGAGAAGGACATCATGCTTGGTAAAGTAGAGGGTCAGTGAAAAACAGGAAGACCCTCAACAAGATGTATTATACACAGTGGCTGCAAGAATGGGCTCAAACATCAACAATTGTGAGGATGGCACAGAACTGGACAGTGTTTCATTCTGTTGTACATAGCATTGGTATGAGTTGGAATCCACTTGACAGCACCTAACAACAACAGCAACAACATTGTTTGTTGCAAAATTAGAGGCAAAATATATGACAAATAATGAATAGTATAATTAGTTCTTCTGGTTAAGAATAATTTTAATTATCGTGGTCAATAATAATAGTATCAATAATAATATTAACAACCATCAGTAGATCATTCAGATTCAAAATGCAGAATCCTGCTACCATATTTATATTGGATTTAGCAGAAGCATCAATGCTACCTCCTCTCAGCAGATATAAGGTAGAGTCTGGGTTCCTGAAGGTAAAATCTGCCTGACTAAAAGCTGTATTGTTTGCTCAGGTGCTCATGGCGAATCTGCTGGTGAATCTGCTCAGCACAGCGTAAGCTCAGGAATCCCTGTGAACAATTGCACCCACCCAAGCTTTGAGTCTGTTGGGCTTCACTATGGTTGTTTACGCCCATCTCAGAGTAGAGTGAAGAATGCTAATTTTACAACACAAATTTTGATTCACGTAACTAAGCCGTGTGTGTTTTCTAATATTCCAAAATTGGAGATATAAATTAATTCCCGTGTCAATCAACTTAAAAGTATACTGAGTATCGATGCTTGCTTTTTCATGTTAGTTTTTGCATTTATTTGACATTCATTCTCCACTGATATGATAGGTTGGTAATGTAGCTTTTTGCTTCTTAACTCTAGCAGCACATTAAAACCACCTGAGGAATTTTTAAAAAAATATTAATGTCAAGGCCTTTACCATTTTTCTTGTCTAATGTGCAGCTAGGGTTGACAACCACTGGCATTGCTAATGTTTTCAATATTTAAAACATTTCCATCTAGAGATTTCAAAAAATCTACTTTCCAAAGAAATGAAAGTATTAAATATTTCTACATTTTTAAAATAATAGGGTGTATTAGTTATCTATTGCTGTGTAACATATGACCACAAGTTTAGCAAGTTAAAGGAACTCACATTTATTATCTCTCCATTGCTGTGGGTCAAGAATCTGGGTTCAGTTTAGCTGGGTTCTCTGCTTAGAGTTGCACAAGGCTGCAATCAAGATGTTGTACTGGTTCTCATCTGGAGGTTTGATTGGGGAAAGATCCACTTTTCTGCACATGTGTTTGCTGGCAGCATTCAGTGTCTTGTGGTTGTAGGATTGAGAGCTTCCAGTTTTTTACCAGCTGTCAACCCGAGGCAGCTGTTATGGCTTGAATTGTGTCCCCAAAAAATATGTATCTTCTTGGCTAAGCCATGATTTGCAGTATTGTGTGGTTGTCCTCCATTTTGTGATCTGATGTATTTATCTTATGTGTTGTAAATCCCCTATGATGTTAATGAGGCAGGCTTAGAGGCAGTTATATTAGTGAAGCAGGACACAATATACAGGATTAAATTGTATCTTAAGTCAATCCCTTTTGAGATATAAAAGGAGAGAAGTGAGCAGAGAGGATCAGACCTCCTACCACCAAGAAAGAAGAGCTGGCAGTGGAGCACATCGTTTGGACCCAGGGTCCGTGTGCTGAGAAGCTCCTAGACCAAGGGAAGATTGATGACAAGGACCTTCCCCCAGAACTGACAGAGAAAGCCTTCCCAAGGAGCTGTGCCCTGAATTCAAACTTCTAATCTCCCAAACTCTGAGAGAATAAATTTATGTCTGTTAAAGCCATCCACTTGTGGTGTTTCTGTTATAGCAGCACTAGTTAACTAAGACAGAATTTGGTACCAGAAGAATGGAGTGCTGGTCTAACAGATATCTAAAATGTGGAAGTGGTTTTGAAACTGAGTAATGGGTAGAGGCTGGAAGAGTTTTAAAGTGCCTAATAGCAAAAACCTAGATTGCCTTGAAGAGACTCTTGGTGGAATTATGGACATCAAAGACAATTCTGGTGAGGACTCAGAAGGAAGGGAAGAGAGATGTAACATTGGAGACAGCACAGATGAAGCAGCATCAGAGAAACAGCATCAAGATACCAGTGCGAGACAGCGCTGGAGCTGACCGAAGAAGGGAGAGCTGAGTGCCTTTGCACGGGCGACAGAGTGGGGTGCTTCCAGGCACTTATCAGTGGAGCTAAAGTGCTTTGGAACACTTGACCAAGCAGGGCAGAGTCTGGGCTGACCCAAGAGACTGAGTGGCCAAGAGGCCAAGGAACCAGGAAGCAGAAGTTGAAGAGATGAGGAACACAGGAAGCAGAGCTGCCTCAGTCTCAAAGAATAGGGCCACAACCTCTGAGGTCTCAAAGCGGGGAGCTATGGCCCCTGGGATTTCAAAGAGTGAGGCCACAGCCTCCTAGGTTTCAAAGAGTCAGATCTTCACCAACTCGGTTCTGGAGTGTGGGACTGCCTTTCACAAGTGCCAGCGGGATGAGGCCAGATCCACTGCCCAAAGCTGAAGGGGCAGGGCTGCCATGCCCAAGGGGCAGAAGAGTGGGGCCTGCCAGTGCTGAGGGGGTAGGGTTGCCACTCAGATGGACTAGGAGAATGGGGCCACCCAAATCCAAGGGAGGAGAGTTGCAGTTCCAGTGGGTCTGGAAGATGGAGCTGAAGCCCAGGGCCAAGGGGCTTCTACTCAGAATCCAGAGAGTGTGGCCAATACCTGGCGTCTGGAGGGCAGGACCATTGTATAAATGGTCTCAGAGAACAGAGGATTATTTTCAAGACTTGAGGGCTAATGTAATGTGTTCTGCTGACTTGCTTGGTGCCTGTTATCCCTTCTTTCCCTCCAATTTCTGCCATTTGTAATGGAAATGTCTACCTTGTGCCTGTTCCACCATTGTACTTTGGAAGCAAATAACTTGTATTCTAGATTTCACAGATGTAGAGGAATTTTGCAGAAGGTGAGATTTTAGACTTAGGGTTGGTTTAAGACTTTTGCTATGATATGATGGGGTGAATATGTTTTAAATGTGACTAGGACATGAATTTTTGGATGCCAAAGGGTGGAATGTCATAGATTGAATTGTGTGCCCCCAAAATATGTGTCTTCTTGGCTAGGCCAAGTTTTCCGGTATTGTGTGCTTTTCCTCCATTTTGTGATTTAATGTATTTATCCTGTGTATTGTAAATCCCCTATGATGCTAATGAGGCAGGATTAGAGGCAGTTATGTTAATGAACCAGGACACAATCTACAAGATTAGGCTGTATCTTGAATCAATCTCTTTTGAGATATAAAAGAGAGAACTGAGCAGAGAGGAGTGGGACCTCCTACCACCAAGACAGAAGTGCCAGGAGTGGAGTGCATCCTTTGGACTCAGGGTCCCTGTGCTGAGAAGCTCCTAGACCAGGGGAAGACTGATGACAAGAACCTTCCCCCAGAACTGACAGAGAGAGAAAGCCTTCCCCAGGAGCTAGCACCCTGAATTCGGACTTCTAGCCTCATAAACTGTGACAGAATAAATTTCTGTTTGTTAAAACCATGCACTTGTGGTATTTCTGTTACAGCAGCACTAGTTAAGTAAGACAGCCACCTTCAACACATAGTAGCTAGCACAGTTTCTTGTCATGTGGGGATCACCAGCATGGCTGCCTGCTTCCTCACAGCCAGCAGGAAAAGAGATGCCCCAGCAAGAAGGGTGCTACAGTCTTGTGTAGCATAATCACACCATCATGTACATGTAATCAGATACAGCCCATCACTTTGGCCATATATATATTTTTCAATTTTTATTTATTGTGTTGTTGTTGAGAATATACACAGCAAAACATACACCAATTTAACAGTTTCTACATGTACAGTTCAGTGACATTGATTACATTCGTCAAGCTGTAAAACCATTCTCATCCTCTTTTCTGAGTTGTTCCTCCCACATTAACATAAACTCACTGCCTGGTAAGTTTCCTGTCTAATCTTTTGAGTTGCTTTTGTGAGTTTGATCCCATACAGGCAGATCTTGAAATAGCGCAATGTTCAAGGTAGACACTCTTTACTAGTTAAACTAAACTATTTTTTGGTTTTAAGAAAACTTCAAGGGATATTTTTGGTTTAAAGTTTAAAGATAATCTCAGGACAATAGTTTCAGGGGTTCACCCAGACTCAATGGCTCCAGAAAGTCTAGAATCCATAAGAATTTGAAATTCTGTTTTGCTATATTTTGTTGGTTAGAAGCAAGGCACAGGTCCCACCCATACTGTTCCATGGGAGAAAAGACATGGCAGTCTGCTTCTGTAAGGATTAGAGCCTTGGAAACCTTAAGGGGGTCATTTCTACTCTGTCCTGTTGGAATCGACTCGATGGCAATGGGTTTGGTTTGGTTTGCTATATATATATGTATTATATATGTATGTATAACATATGTATATATGTGTGTGTATATATGATAAAGGGTGGGATGTGACAGATTGAATTGTATATATATATATATAGTATAATCCAGTATGGGTTCCAGTTAGGCCAAAATTACCATTTATCTTCTGACTTTATGTTTTCCTTTCTCTTCCCTCCCTAGGTGTGATAGCAATTGTGATATTTATCTTGCTCTGCATCACTGCCATAGCAATATGCATTTACCAACAGAGATGGTTTTACCAAAAAAACAATTCCAGACAAAATGGAGACCATGCAGAGACTTCTCTGAAAAGTGAGCTCAACGTGCAAGCTACAGTCAATGAAAGTCAAAAAGAGTACTTCTTCTGACTGGCAGCTGTGGGTTCCTTATGACTAGCACAGTGTGGCTTTCTGGCTAAGCCAGGTGCTTTCAGTGGGTGAAGACCCCACCCTTGTCCTCGAGGTACAGGTGGTGGGTGCAGTACTGTCACTTTGCCTATGCCTAGCTCCACAGACAGCAGAGGAGTCCACTCCGTGCTTCTTCATGATTGTTCACGTAGCAATGAGTTAGGTGTGATCATTAATCACTGCTTGGCAGTTTCTGACTGTTTTGACCTGCTCTTCTAAAAGGAAATGTAATCTGCATAGGTGACCATGGGTTTCAACGAAGACAAGGCTTTGAGCTGTGGCCTTACTCTCTTAAAAATGTGACAGAGAAGTTTTATTTACAGGTAAAAGTCACAGTAGGATTCTGATATGATGTGTGACATGGAAGACTGTGCTGTAGTCTCTTTATTGATCACCTGCTAACATTTGGAACCTAGGAATTACTTCTCAGATGGCCTCAGCTGGGTTTTTGTCTTTTAAAAAAATTTTTTTTTTAATTGTATTTCAGGTGAAGGCTTACAGAGCAAATAGTTTCTCATGAAACAGTAGTACACATATTGTTTTATGACATTGGTTAACAACCCCACAA